ACACACACACACACACACACACACACACACACACACACACACACTTTAAAGGCATTCCAACCACTAGCGGAGTAAGTTCATTATGGTAAAAATCCAAAATGGCTCCTTTGCTCTAATAATGTCCTTTTAAATACTTCCCAAGTTCCCGACAAATCTTTTAAGTACAATTCAGAGAGTACGCCAAATCATATTCAATTTTACAGAGGCTTTTCTTAAAAATGCATTTTCATTTTATAATTTAGAAATACCACTGAGACTTTCAGGGACATCCATCAAAGGAAGTGCAGAAAAGTTCACACAATGAAATTTGAAACTCTGCTAGCCTATTAACTGCCACCAAAGGCAAAGAAAATAAGTGTCTGTCCACTTCTCCAGTTATATTTCCCATGTGGAGATTTCATACACCCCAGACAGCGAAAATGCATTATTTTAATTTCTTCATTGTAATGTAAATGTATTACATAATTTTGCAAATGCCAATATAATTTAATCTTCAGATCTTTTTAATGATTTTAGTGATGATTAAATTGCAAAGGGCTCCCTGATGGAGAATCAGAGGGGAGGAGAAAAAAAATCTAATATGAACATCTCCTTTTGTGGCAAGAAAGGATTTTATTTCATGCGCCATATGCTGCCATTGCTGTGGGTCTCATTGTTTAATGAGCGCCTTGGTCTAAACAAAGAAAAATAATTAAAACTTTGATGAACTATATTAGAAAAATCATAATTAACTCTTAATACCACAACAGTGAGGACAAAAATTAAGACAATGAGACAAAAAACTGGAACATTGTGTTTCTCTTTGATATTGATGGACGTAGCTCATCACATAATAAAAATCCAGAAAGTTCTCATTAAACGTTATATTGGTCTCACTTAACAACATACAATTAAGTCATTTTCCCAATTTAATAAAGGAAAATAACCTGTGCAGGCGAGTCTTTTATGTCAGCTATTCCTTAAGGATTAAGAACATTTACATATGCACAGCATTAATATCTTGTTGCTGTCTATCTTTTATAAAGCAAGCATAAAGGTGGATTGTTACTAAGAGTACTAAGTGAACATTTTAGGCATCAAAAGCCATTTCTTATATTGATCATTCAGTTAAGTTGGATTCAATTCAATAAAACTTCTTTAAACCCTGAAGAGAAATAATGTTGCTGCTGCATAAGTGATTATTATGCTCAATAGGATATTGTTGAGGTTATGACAAAATGAATACAATAAAAGTCATGTGAGGAATATTCAGAGCGGCAAAGATAGGTTCAGAAGACATATTCAGACTCTGACATCAATATATAAGGTTATTTTTGTAGCTGGTAACTGAGGTGAATCGTTAGAAAGAGCCCCTCCCACGCCCATGTCCCTTAGATAGATGAAAAAAATAACCTTTCCCATCCTGAAATCCCTCATTCTTTCATTTTCTCTGCATATCAAGGCAAGTAACTGTTTAAACTTCCTCCTCCTTTTTTCTTATTCGTTCCTACTCTGAATCCCTGACATCTCCTCTTATTCTTGGGAATTTGGAAAGCTCGATCAGCTGCTTCGATGTGAAAACAACTTCCATGGTGCGGCTGTCCTTCATCCGCTGCGATTTACCAGCCTGAACAGAGTCAAACCTCAGTCAGGAATCCCATTTTAAACTGCTGGCGTATGGGCAACCCAAAAAAAGGCACGAGCAGAATCTTTTACAGTGGAGCGTGAAACATTTGTGAAGAGGAGGACCCTCGAGTTATATATTTGAGAGCACGAGAGGAATGACCATGAAAATAGTTGAATAATTGAATAAAAATATTTGCCAGTCTGGAGCACTCAGCAGGTCCTGAATGCCAGGAAGTGGTGGGAGCCATGTGCTGAGCTCGTGTTGTCAGCCTACACTGTCAAATAAGCAATAGTGTGTCCCAGGACTCCTGATTCATCTGACCACAGCAGACTTCGTGGTGACAGACTATTGAGTGAGACTTGCTTCGACCTCAGTTTGGCTAAATAAAGGAAACTAGTAATGGGGGAGAAAAAAATCCTCCATCCCCTTGAAATGTTAAGTCTTTTTTGTAAGACTACCTTTAAGAGGCATTTGAGATTAATATATGTACATCCCAATGGCCGTCGACATCTTTGATGTTGTTTGTAGAGCAAAGGAAATATTTATTTATTCATCTATTTTACCCTGGATGAAAATTCCTTATTTCTGGTCAAAGTACAGCTCGCCTAGCAGTGGTGTACGGCCTGATCTGTTCCGTGTGGAGGGAAGGACAACGGCAAATAAAAGACACCTTAGATCAACCAGAGAAAAAAGAACAAGGCGAATGTGAGTTTTACATATAAAAGGAAAAGACAAAAAAGGGACTGCAAATTTATTATTGGTTCCAAAACCTGTGGAATGACCCTTGGACCCCCATTTCAGATCGACCTGTGGGGAGATGAATTTTTAAGACATAAATTACACCTAATGACGACACCATAAAAAAGAACAATAATGGAAAGCTATTCTGTATTTCATTATACTGTATTATTTGGTGCACCTGATACACGTAGTGCCTGTTTATGAGTCACAGTATTAGCAGATGCTCTGCCAAAGCATTTGCTTTGACCTTGCCATTCTCATTGGGGCATGAAATTACGGTGCTGGCACCTCGATATTACAGCTATAAATACTGTAAACTGCATATCTGGGCTACGTTTTCTATTGTCTTTCAACATAAACCTGATCGGTATTTATTTAAAGGAAAACCCATTGCTCGTCAGGTTATTTACAGCTCCATTTTCAGAGCCTCATAGTCTCTGGGCATTTTTTTTCAGGGCAAAGAGGCGGCAAGGTTCCTACATTAAATCTTTTTCTCCAATTTTGGCACTTTTGGACTTTATGGGTCAAGACCTTACTCAGACAGGCAATTATAAAAATTGCTTACTAAAATATTTTTGGTGGTAAGGGGTGAATGCCTTTTTTACTGTCCACCAAGGCCTGAATTATGTAGCTGCCCTTGGGTGAAAATTACTTACATTTTGAATATCTTGTTTGGAAAAAAAAAGAAAAAAGCATGCGGGGGGGTAGATGGAGGTCAATATGGGATTCAGGAGTTCATCTTGTTTCTCTTGCTGTAGTGGCCATTGGGATTCTACATGTCATTTGGTTTCATACAACTGTTTGAATAGGGCACATCTTAAATAATGACCGGCCTCATAGGGTATTCATTTATGTATTAAAAAGGGGACTCCGCTCTCATTTCCCTGCTTTATTGCCTTGTACTGATGACAAAGTGAGCAAGGCCTCGGCTAGGTGGCGCCGTGGAGTAATTTATAACCACATCAATCCCTTTACCTTCTATACGGGCCTTGGTCATTGTCATTTTTGTCCGAGAGGTGAGTCAAACAACCCCACTTAAAAGCAGCACCCTATCAATATCCGGGATGATGAACCTTACCCTTACCTTCAGAGCAGGTATGGTAATGGACCAAAGGCCTACCTGTGTCCCCCTGACCCCCCATCGCCGGCCCTTTACTCAGGGTGAAATCTATTAGCATCACTTATTCATCTCAATAACAACCAGGACGGCATAAAAAACAAATAAGTAAAGCCATCATTTATGTCTCACTGGCAGAGACATGCTTTATTCACCTGCACAGCAACAATGAGCGAGCACTCCGCACTTTACTTTCCCAAACAAAGTGCATTCGGCTCGGTAATCAAGGAGCTGCTGAGTGATGTCGGCGTAGGGGCCACGGTCAAAGCGACACGTTGAAAGCTGGAACAAGCGGTTTGACTTTGTCCTGAGAATTTGATTTTTGTGGTAATTATGTGTGTAACCGCTAATTGTCTGGGCTGAATGGTGGAGTCAAAATGGGGCCCGCTGCTCTTTACTTGTTACATCTGTTAATTGCAGGAGACGCAGACAGCACAATTCTCTGGACGAGACTGTGGCGCTAGTTTATTTCACTCAAACCCAATAAAATTTACTTAAGCTTGGTGAGGAACAAGTGCAGCAAAATTGCCTCAAGATTGCTGTATGACAGTTTAAAATGCAATTCATTTCCTCACTCCTCTGTTATAGGATGAAAAAACATCTCTGAGCTTAAATCTTGATTTACATTACATCAAAGTGACAAAGTTGCCATATTTCAGCTAGTTTATTAAACCTCAAGGACTACAGAAGGGCAACCAGAAATATTGGACTACATAATTGCCAATTCATATTCCGAAATTGACAGTCGAAGGAAAACAGAAAATCATATTTTTCAATGAATATTGAAATAAACCAAACTATTATGATCTCTTTGTAAGAAAAGAAAAAAAAACAGATGTAACCAGAGAAGCTTCCCTCGGTGCAGATTAGGGCACAGATGCGCAGGGAAATAATATGCACGACTGAGATTATTGTGTAAAGATTCTGCAACATGCAATCAAACCGGGCCCTATTTTCCCCTTCATCAGTTGTCCAGCATAAGCACTGGCAGCTAGAGGAATCCAATTTAAATTCCACTCTACCGGGAGATGGTATTGTTTCATTTTATGTGTGCTTTGACATTTCTAGCTGTTAATATAGAGTAAAATCAAGAAGTATTTACATAAATATGACATTAAACTGTATTAGAAATTAAGACTGACACATTTTCTGTGGCGACTGTGGGATGAGGAGGATGATTGAGTTTCTATGTCAAAAGGTGGAGGTGATGATACATGGTGAGTGCAGAAACAGGAAAAGTATTGGCCTGTGCAAAGCCCTCTGTGCTTAAATTCAGACAGAAGAGGAAGCAAGCAGTTAGCAATGATATAGACAAACTTATTTAATATTTGTGTTTTTATGACTGGAGAGAGGTTAGCTCATCTCTTGTCAATGTAAAAACGTCAACATCTTTGAGCACACAGACTGGCTCAGGTGGGGGAGTCTTTCTTTACTTGTCTCATTATGAAAAAGAAAATAAGTTCAGTCAGTTAAAGCCACGCTGTTTAATGTTATCTATCTGAATCACTTTTTATCAAGAAATGTCATTTTATGACCGCTTTTCAACTTTTAAGACACTTTTTTAGACAGATAAGTCAGCTTTAATTGGAATAGCTTAGAATGTATCTTATCATGAGACAATTTCCTGTAACATGAATATTCAGAAATGCGGCTGCAATTTCGAAATGATTGTGCTGAACTGAAATCAAAAGAACAGAGGAAAAAAAAACTAATTAAATGGCATATGAGGTTATGGTAAAGTTCGAAAGATTTCCAGGTTCACTGCTGAATGACTGTACAGCCAAAGTGTAGAGCTGCCCAAGAATACTGCAGAGAGCTAGTCAAACATACTTTGTGCTAAGTGTTTCACTGCTCATATCTCTCCCCTCTCGCCCTATGATCAATGTCCTCATGCAAATCCAGAGTTCTCGCTTAGATCTACAGTGGAACTGCTTTTCCAAAATAAATCAGCATTAAAGAGTCATACATATTTCATGGAGTTAAAGTGCTGTAAGAGCAAACCATTTTGGATAGTGGGCTCCACAGACGTTGCGACAAAGCTGGAAATAAGAAGAAAAGAATGAGGCGCGCCGTGACGTCATTAGCTGGTGATGTGGACTCGGAAATACCCCACGGTACTAATGAGACTAAAAGATTAAGACGTTTTTTTTTTAAGTCATCAAGAATCATTACACAAGAGGGAGAGATGTACATATCAGCTGCATGGTAGCAGCAGGCGCACATGGATTTGGTTTCAGGTTACCTTCCCCAGTCACAGAGCTTTTAGGCTCACTTTTCACTGTTTGGCTACTAAAAAGCTGGAGGCATAGCGGCGCAGTCCCTTAAGTACTGAACTGTTTTGTAACCACCAAAAATAAAGAACTCTCAACACAAAGAGTTTATTTAAGGTAAAAGCATGTGCTCTCCCCTATAGGTGTTGTTTCCCGCTAGGCCGCAGTTTCCCGCTAGGCCGCAGACCAGCTCACGGCAATTAAGCTTTCTGCAAGTTCAGCGGCGCAAACAATATCCAACCATGTGTCGGAAAGATCCGAACGGGCCGCAAAAATGTGAGGTGGCAGCAAAAGCGAAAGCTTCGGCTCAGCCCGCATCGAAAGCTTTCCTGCATTGTGCCTGAAACTTTCGATAACCGTTAAATTAAGTAAAAGGGTTAAAATGCTAGAAGGCAATATTGATAATTCCATTGAAAACTCTGAGGGAGTTTGTCAATATTAATTTTCCTGAACCCAAAGGAGCATCCCAACTGGTGTGTCATTTATTCAGAGGGCCTGAATCACGTTCTCTCAAGCTAAATCGATCCTTTATGAGGCCCCCCCAGGGCAAAGAGCTATGGCCACCAACTTTGACCCTTACATAGCAGTCTTATTAGGGGAGGGGGAAAAAAAGACACTGTGTCTGTATTACTGGCTGGAAACGTGCTGGCAAAGAAACACAAATGCACAATGACCTTTCTTTTATGAATATGTTCAGGCTTTACACAATGTTGTCAAGCAGGAGCACCTCACCTTTTTTCTTCAAGAAAGCTTTTCTGGTGGCCAGGGGGCTCTGACGTACTTTGGGGTTCTGCAGAAATTTTACAGCAGTGGTGATCTGGAAAGAGACGGATCGGATTTTATTTCTCTTCTGGACATAATGCGAGTCGAAGCAGATGAGCTGTGCAGGAAGCCAATGCTTTCAACAGTACAAACAGAGTCTACACTTCCTTAAGAAAAAGGTTCATTATGAATCCAGCCCGCTCAAAAAGAAAAAAAAAAACTTAAATGGATTCTGTTTCAAAGGTGCTTTTATGACCCCCTCCCACACACACACACACACACACACACACACACACCCAACAGTGAGGAAAAAGACCACCTGACCACTTTCCTGCTAAATGTGGGGAATGACCAAATCAGCAGTTATAAAATTAGCCCATCAGGAGTGCTGGACAAATGGAGTATGGAGCTTAATTTGCTATTACCCGCTTAAAGACAAACTTCCATTCTTAAGTGTGCAGTGGAAGAAAATCTATACTTAATGCAGAGGTGATCATTTGTATCTAATAACTTGAGAATCCTAGGCTGAAAACTTCTGTAATTCTTCCAGTTAAAAACCTGCCATGATCAAATCAGCCAGCCTCACTGTTGTAATGACTTGAAACGTTAATGCACCAGAACGTTAAATAGCATCAGAACATCAGTAGTTTTAAGTGCACTGCGTTCATCGATTCTATTATGTTTTCCTTCGAGATGCACCTTAATTTTCCAGCCAGTATGCATTTCCAAGAATTGGAGGGTGAGAAAAAAAAATCTTCCTCAAATGGCATTAAAACATAAATTTGAAGTGGGCGCCACTTCATGGCGCCTCCTAAAATAGATAAATATGTAAGAACACGGAGAAAGGAGAAACACACTGGAGGGGAGGTTTCGATGACTTATTATCGCACCTGTGGTCCCCGTGATTCAATTGTAAAAGTCATCCCTCTAATAGCTTGAAAGGTTTTGATTACTCTTCTTTTCTCTTAGTGTTGAAAGATACAAAGTGATTGAGCGCCCTGCCAGTGGTAATTCATTTTGGGTAATGCATTGCATATACTATGAACCTGTTTCAATCTGAAAGAATTGCAGTTTAAACTTGTCCGAGGGGCAGGAGTGGCAGGGAAGCTGTTTAAAAAAGCTTGGTTTCTATGATGAACGCAGGGCAACGGTACACACAACCCTAAAAGTGCCCTTCGCTTTCCTTCAGCTGACTAGGAAAACGCTTAAAAGTAACCAGGCAGCACCTGCTGTACGAGTAGACATCCTGCACCTGTATAAAGCTGTACATTATGACACCCCCCCTTCTGCTTATGCCGTAATTTTATCAAAAAGTACCAGATTTCTCCCGCGAGAGGCGGCCCCAATTTATTCAGACACTAATCTACCATTTCACAGAGACATCGCCGTGACCTTGATGTACACAAGGGTTGAGCAAGAGGTATGGAATTTCCAGGATCTCTATATGATGAGGGCTTATTAAAGCCAGCCACCCGGAACCTTCATTGTGACAACCAGATAAAAGCATTTGCATGGTGAACCCCCCCCTTTCCCCAACCCCGACTGGTGTTCTGGGCCAAAAGATACAGTCAAAACAAAAACTAAATCACTGCGCTCTTGGCAAAACTCGCGCCGCGTTTGAGCCGAAGACACGACTTGTGGCAAAGGGCAGAAACATGAGATAATGAACACGCTAAAATCTAATATTCTCATTTTCATTCCAGTAAACAACAAAGTGATGCGGGCGCTGCGAGAGGTAATGACCTAATAGGGCAAGAATATGCTGAATGAGCAGTCCTTGTTTACATTCCCTTAAAATTTCAGTAGCCCAATATTGACAAGAAAATTGTATCAATGTTAACAGGCATAAGTATGATACCTTAGTGAGGACCGCAGCTTGCTCAGCGGCAAACTAATGAGGCAAATGTCCATTTGGTTAAAACTGTAGTGGTAGATCTTCAGGGAGAGGAAAAGTGCACTTCTTAGCAGATGACATAGATGCTTTGCACAAGTTCCATCCAGACATCTCAATCAATTATAACCACATTGCACGGATTTCCCTCTTGTTATTGACTTATGGATCACCCCAGTTACAGTGTTGGGTAGCACACAACTGGGCTTTTAGGGGGGAAGATGGATAACGCTACAAGTTACATTTGGGGCCTTCAGCATAAATAACTTCAATAAGAAAATGAGATGAACGAGCTGACTCGTAAAAAGAAACTAGTGATTTTCTAAGCTTTTGACTGTAATTTGCCCCGTTAGTAAAGCTGCGCGTAAAGCTTTGACCGCCGATGAGCCAAGCAGCGCCGTGTAAAGAGCAGTGATCTTTGCAAACCAGATAACCAATAAAGTGTCAGGTAAAGCAGAAAAAGAGGCGAAAACTCAATCACGGGAAGAGATAACATTAACCAACACACTTAAAGAGAGTGAACTTGATGAACAGACAAGATTACAGGAATGTTATTGAGTTTGAATTGGACCCGACTTTGCGCTGCACTTGTCTGAAAATTACAACTGTGATACCCTGAATTGGGAGAAATGAAGGTGAAACGTGATTACGTTCGAACTGCATGGATGGACGCCTGAGGGAATCGATGTAACCAGTTGTACATTTTTGCCCAACTAGTAACAGTGCTTAACTATTATGTTACCATGGACATACTGCAGGTGTGCATTATGGGTATAGAGGCAGAGGTGAGGGTGTGAGCAGGTAGGCACTTGGAATTTCTGACGATGAGGCCTCATATAAACGACATATGTTTTACTTTGACTGCTTCCAGTAACAGATTTTGGGGTTTGAATTACACAGGCCTGATCAAAACAGCAGTTATCGAGCATTTGCTCAGCATTAGGACAAGAATGAAAAGAAAACAAGGTATTAGAGGCGCAATATGGTCTGCTTGTCTTTTAATCTCTTTTGAATAAACTTCAAAATGATACAATAACAGACACACAGTGCACAGGACTTATCCAAACTTAGCATCTACCTCCGTATGACAGACTTATCCGCTAATTGGGATGCTCACCTCTTCATTTCCTAATCAACAAAAGGACTTTGCAATGTATTACATTAATTTGCCAGATAACATTTTTAATAAAAAAAATTTTAAAGTATTAAAGAAATTAAAAAATTAAAGGCTTAGTGCAAAACAGTGCCAAGATTTGGATGGCGGGGTGGAACAAAAAGTTGGGCTGGGGATTCAAAGAAGGGGCTAAAAGGAAATCATTAGCAAGTATAGGATTCGGTCTCAGTGTGAATCAATTCATTCCAAATTGCCCTGGCCTGTACATTTGAGGAGAAGTGCCCCTGATATAATAACAGACTGATAGACATGAGCAAAAATTGTGTTAGGCTAGTCTCAAATTTCCCCCCTAAACACACGTTTGGAGGACCAAAAGCGAGAGAATGTGAGAGACGGCAAAAAATGAAGCTCTATATTAATTTGCTGCTTTCATGGGTGATCTGCTATCAGGGGCAGCTGTCTTAAATGACTTAACCCAATACCTTCCTGATATCAGAGCCCTGCCAGAAAGGAATTAAGTTTTAATGCAATTATTGTATTTCCTTTGGTCGCCTGACTGCTTGATGTGGCCAACAGTGCTTTTTAATCTTTTTAAAAGAGCAGCTTTAAACGCCCTTATAATTGTGACATCTTTGCCGCCCTAATGTGACCTTTAGCAGAGGAAGCAGGGCCTCGTGGGAGCAGCTATGGGGAATTATTGACCCTGAGAGACATCAGGAAGTGAGGTGCCGACCCGACCATTTAAGCCAGCGTTGAGTTGTTCAGCAGGAGCTTCAAGGGCCCTGCAGGAGACGAGCCCTTCTGGGGGGGCTTCCTCTCCAGCCTCGCCGGTTCTAGTCTTTATTTTTTGCGCGGGGCTTTTTCAGGAAAGCTAATGAGAGAAAATCAAATAAACAACCATTAACAAAACTCCACTTCGGCTTGGGCAGAATCTGATAAAGAGGGCCCGGTGAAGTGTGGGCTGTTTTATTTTTTTTTTCCTCCTGCCCTGCCAAGCTTTCACGTGGAAGCGCACGGCCCAAATAACAGTGCATTTACGCTCATTGTATTATATTCCACAAATGTGGTCAATCATTATCGAATGACCGAACTTTTCGAACTTTTGAGATTTAAAGGTCGGAGTCCGCTATTCGGTGGATGAAAATGGGGTCATGGAAAACTTCATTGACATTTGCTATGCAAAGGTTTAAAAATAACATACAACGCTGGATCAGTGTCAGAGCCATGGGCAAGGCTACAAACATGACATCAAAAACATATTATGCAATTTTTTTCGGTGGTGGTGGGGGGGGGTTGGTGGACGGAAATTTAGTTTTTTTTTTCAAGACCACTGCGTATGCAGACCAAAGTTTCCATTCAGCAGCATTTCCCTGTCACAGTTTTGTCATCTCAAACATGGAAAAGTTGAGTGGGCTCAGTGGTGAGAACACACACACTCACACACACACACACACACACACACAAACACAGCTGAGCACATCTGATCCAGCGAGGACACCGAGGGCGTAAAAACTGCACATTGAGGTAGCGAGGCGATCGATGCAGAGTGGACCTGCTCTCACAGGAACGTGAGCGCTCAGGTGCTGTGACATTTAGTCTGCGTGTGTGACGAGGTCACGTGACTTCCGCGCCACTTGTGCTTCGCAGAAGCTAAAAAGGGCAAAATGGCAACCCGTGAGTTTTATTCACTAGCTTCTTTTCTTTCTTTTTTAAAGTCTGTCACAAACAGTTTAGTCGCATTAAAAATGGATTTAATTTGGTTTTAAAAGTGGCGAGAAGGAACAAAAAAAGTGAATAAATTCTTCTGAAGGCAAATGTGACACAAGGCCTATTCAAAACCCGCTCTGGTGATCAGATATGAACCCCAGCCTGGCATGACTTAAAGCCCCAGCGGTGCTGCCTGGGGTTGCCCTCGCTAAAGAAGCGAGACAGATGACTGTTTAGATAAGGACATCCCCAACGGCGCCCTGAGAACAGAGAGTCCTGCCACTGACACCTCTCATTCATCCAGTTTGGACCAAAAAAAAAAAAAGACAAGAAAAAAAAAAACCCTTTAATGGTGCACATATTCCTTTTAATTCAGGTAAAAGGCCCAAACCTCCAGTCTGGAGCTGCTCTGAAAAATGAGGGTCATCAGAGATTAACCCATGGCACTTTAGCGGTGGGGGTGTAAAAGGAGGGAGTCGCAGTCAAGCACAACAAACTACTTAGCTACCACAAAACATTCCAGCCCCCTTCTCAGCTGCAATCCAGTAATGGATACTTCCTCAGCTCCTCGATTGCTCAAAATGTTTTCATACAATAATTTAATTCAGAAACACATTTACAAACCAGGAGTAATCAATTTTAATTAGTTGATTTTCTTTCTTTCTCTTTTTTTTCCATTCGCATAAAATTTAATGTACCACGATCGATCTCTTTTGTTCTTTAATGCAGTGCCTCTTTCCTGTAATTCGATGCTTTTTAATTTTTTTCTTTCTTTTCTTGCTGTCAGTGATGTCAATCTGTGTCAAGAAGTTCCGCTTGCTTTTTAGTCAGGATGTAGTCAGTACTTCAAAACTTAAACGTGCTCATCGTGATACTTGGTCTCACAGGCGCGCGGCTTCAGTCGGGTTTGAAAATGTTTCACTTTGCTCAAAGAAAGGACTCATCAAATATACTGTACCAAGAAGTAATTTAAGATCTGATTATAGACATTTACCTGTAAATAAACCTACACATTGGAATTTTCTTAGACAAATGATTTCTTTATGATTTTCTTTATTTTTATTTTTTTGGGGTAAAAAGCTATATTGAGGTTATGGATCACAACAAGACATTCCGCGGGCCATTTCACAACCTTAGAGCTTTTAAAGCAGTGGAATGCCAGTTTGATGATCTGGAGGTGACACATTGGTTACCAAAGTGCAAAAAGTTTAAAACAGCAACATAAAAAAATGTGTGTCATGGCTTTTTAGTTGCTCTTTTCTTTGTGTGTCATTCTAAAGCAAACTGAGTGGCACTGAGATCCCCAGAATGTTAGAACGAGTGTAGGTTAAGCCTAAACAAAATTATATTCTTTTAGCAGAAATGAGAAAAGTGTCAGAGCAGGCTGTGGCTATACAAAGAACGCCCGTGTGTTTTTCTTTTATTTCTAACTGCCGCTGCCCCTGTGTGTTGTCCTTCTCATCCGGGCCCGCCAGCCTTTCACATCCAATTAGTTGATTGAGGCAAAACGCGAGCGGCACCAGCAGCAAAACAACGAGAAGCCTGTGTCCGAGCGACACACCACAGAAGTTGTGTTGTGGTGTCAGGAGCCGAGCCTCCTCCGTCACTAGCAACTCCCAGCGACAAGCCTATCCTCCTCCGCTCATCCGAGCTGCTCCTCTCAGCGAGGAGGCACCCACCCTCAACACACTCGCCCGTACACACCCTCCACACACACCAAATCGCAAGTTAAACTGAACCACGTCGATAGGCAAATAACCAAGGGTGAGGGTGCAGAAGCTTGCCAAAATGACTAATGAAACTAAAATAGAGAGGCCAGGAAGAATGGAGGGAAAGGTGTCCTTTTTATTGATCAAATTATTCCGTCTTGGGTACACAGAGGCAGAAGATGAGAGCGCGCTCCCACAGACGACTCCACAGATTGTGACATTCCTGTGACATTGTAATCGTGTGTCAACTCTTCTCCAGTCAATAGCCTGAATGCACTAATCATGTGTCTTGGATCAGCAATTTCATGGTCTTCAAAGGAGGCCAGGAATTGGTGGCATGACCCTCCATACGGGGTGAAACCCTCTTTCCTGAGCGAGCGCCACTGAGGGAGGCGACGGCGTTCGGGGGAGAAGCGCCGCGGCGGGAGCAGAGCCAGAGAAGATGAACATCCCCATCTACTGGCCGGGGGCGGGACGGTGGCGGCAGGCTGGGGGGGGGGGGAGGAAAGCCTGGCAGTTTCCCCCTTGCAGCCCTGTCTTTCGCTGAGACCTGTCAGAAACATTTAGACACACTTGCCGAGACAATGGGCCGCACATCCACGCCGGCAGATGAGTCAGAGCGAAAATCACCGTCAACTACGGGAGGAAAACTTCAGGCGGCGCCGCCTTTGCTTTGTATTCTGGGAGAAGGGGGAAACAAGCGAGAGTCTGTAACAGATCACGCTTAGTGACACAGAAAAATGTTGGCAAAACGTCTTTTCCTGCGAGCGTCCAACGGCCACAAACCGTCTCGCCTGGAGAGTGGGATGATCCCACAGAGACGGCGGTGCCGACGGCGGAAGAAAAAAAAGCAAACGAAGCACAAAGACGGCTCATCAGATGAAATAACAATTATTCATTCCAACTTCAATAAACCTGCTGCCCGTGACAAAAGCACGGTTAACAGTTGGCGTAAGAGCTCCACCTGAACGGAACCCGCCTTTTTTCTGAGGAGTGGAGACAGACTTTTCAGGTTCTGCCTGATGCGGACTGCAACCGCGTTCGATTTTCAAACATCTTTCAGAGAAAGCCACTAACATTTTACAGACGCTCGGGGCAAAAAGAAACTCATTGGGTCGCGGCATCAGAAAAATGAGTAATCGGGGAGGAATGCTGCGCGTCACGGCCGCAGAGAGACCTGCTTTTTGTGGAGATCGGGGGTCAACGCCCGTTTTTGCGCGTGGCGGAAAACAAACCTCACTCCTCCAGAGAGCGAGGAGAGCAAAAGGGGCTGAGTTGGCAGGCCGCTCGGCGGCAGACGCGCACCTGCTCTGACATTTTCTGTCAACCTTGACACAGAGAACACGTGACGATGCCACTCCTGAGCTTCAAAAGTGCTCTTTCACGTCTCCTTTTCTTTGCGCCGTGAGGAAATCGAGGCTCTCTCAGACTGCAGGAGGATGTCTCAAGGCATTCGGGACGAAACGAACAAACACCTAATAGACGGTCTTATTTTGGGGCCGACCAAAGCCTGCTGGCAACTGTGTGTGCTGGCAGACGCACACAAAAGGATCGCAGGCCACCGATACCTCACATTAAATTCCAGAGTCCGCGGTAAACACAATCTGGAGCTGACAGAGCGGCCTCATCCTCTCCTCTCTATATATATCGTCTCCTTCTCACCCCTTCTTTTGAAGTTCATGACAGAGCTACAATGCAGCCATCCATCTACTATTTTAATCAAAGAGAGAGCGAAGTGCTGCTGCCAGGAGAGCTGCGCAGGCAAACAAATGCAGCCCCGCAGCATTAACAAGAAGTCAGCGGTCTTCTTTCCCGGGTCGGTGAGGGAGCCACCAGGTGCTGGATGACCGTCACATGATAGTAAAGTCTCTATAACTCTATAAGTAGGGAGATAAAAAGAATTCTTGTCCACACACTGACTTTCTGGCACTTCAAAGCCAGCGGAGCAGCCGGACAAATGACTCGCCAGAACAGAAACTTGTAGAGAATGATTCAGGCGTTTCTTTTTTCCACGCAGCACAAAACCGTTTGCAGGTGAAGATGAACTCACGGCAAAAGTTTTAGGCCACTGGCAATAAACCCCAGGCCCGATCCGACTGCAGCTGGGTTAACGTTGTTTCCCAATGTGCCGTTTTTCAAGCCTTTTTTCAAAGATAATTTATCTCGGTTTGTGTATTCTGTCGCTTTCATTTTAGCCTTGAGACTAAAACGCCATCTCTCTCTCTTTTTTTTTTCAGATTCCCCAGATAAAGCCACAATCTCAGGGCGCCACACACAGAGAAACGCTGGAATCCCATTAGCATTTTGCTTTCATTATTTTTAATC